GAATAACCAATTAAGAATAAAATCAATCAAAGAATACAAATCAAATGTAGGAAAATTGGAAAAAATTACACATTACATGTTTATGCTGTGTTTAAAACCACTAACTAGATATAAAATTTTAACTATTCTATGAAACACACGCATATATTATTCTTATTACAACTGTTCCAATTACGTAGCATAGTAGTTTAATAATAGCGTTATATTGATGCTTTGTAACATATACATTATTCATTAATATGAAATATTAATCGCAATGCGTTTCGTAATTATATATATTTTGTCTATGTTTATTAATTATCATTTAATTAATTATCCTGTAATTTAAATTTGCGTAAGCATTATTTATCATGCTGCAGTTGTTTTGAACAGAAAAATATTTGCGGAGGCAAGTTTGCATCAGTAACGCGATTTTGCTTTGACGTAATCCGCGCAAGATGCCGGTCGGTTTACACACCCCTATTCGTATCCATCTTACTTTTACCTCGGCATTATGAAAAAACTTCGTCGTAATCTTCTGTAAATTTGCCCGACTGGAAGTTTCCGCTTGCATAAAATGCGCTCGGCTTTTCCGAACCGTGGAACGTAACGGTATGCGTTTTACGTAGATTAAGCGGAAACTTTGAGGTTGTCAACTTCGTCATAACATTAATACCACCTGCCAACCCAATTTATCTATAGATCTATAGTTCGTTGTTTATTACTCCCTGTCTAATAAAAAAAGATCCCCTCGTGTATTATTTTTTAAAAATAATATAATTCTATCGCGCGAGCTATGATGAGAATAAAAGACTCGATAAACTCAGTCAGGCTTGACTTGAGACATATTGTAAAAATTTTTACAGTCTCATTTATTAGAAGATTTAATTATATTAAATTTTTTTAGTAGAAAAATTTTATACACAAAAATTAATTAATAAAGGCTGAACTAAAGGAATTTCATATGTAATAGAAAGTGAAAAAAATGCAGATTAATCTTTTTAGAAAAAAAAAAATGCAAATTAATCTTTTTACATATAGAGAGAAAAATAGAGAGACAGAGAGATTACTACAAAATAAAATAGAAATATAAACCACATCGGCAGATCGGACAAATTCGACAGAAAAAGTGAACGAAAGAGATTCTTTGAAAAGAATCCGTTTTATTGCTCATTTTTCAGTTGCTGTCGCAACGAATGATATTGATGTTTGTGTTCTCAACATTTTCCTGTAATTTCGTACGGTTCCGTACATATTATAAAAAGGCGGAGCCGTCCTAATTTTATGTGACACGTACATGCTGGAATTCTGGGCTTTCCGCGGTAATCCGTGCGAGACATTCACGGAGACGTCGGGATGACGAATATAATAGCGTTTCTCGGAATATGCGCATATGAAAGTCCTTAAGTAACTTACATTTAATTATTCTGAGAATTTATTTTTCTAAATTTTGCATCTTTCTTTGATTAAATCTCAACGTAATTTTTTACAATCAACAATTTATTTCGATTGTAATGTTTATTTCGAGCATAATATTTTTATCGATAAACGTCGTCGTTTTAATACCTACGATATTCTCAATAACTGTTCTCAAAGTAATCCTCTCCGACTTATACGTATAGAGATTAATTTAGAAGCATTACGCCGTACATATTCTTGCTATTATGCAACCGTACTTTTCCCGTGGCGTCAACTTGGCGAGCGAACATTTTTGAATAAATATACTATGCATGCTAACTAAGCTCTTTCAATTCTTTGTCCTGCGTCGCATAAAAAATTGCAGGTCATCCACTGTCCGAGGATTTTTATTAATCTCGCTGAAGACTTGCGTTAGTGCATTCAGCGGTAGCCTGCAATTTTAAAAACTAATGGCTATGATTAAAAGAATATTTTCTTCGAGACAATAATAAGGGGGAACAAATATAAGGGAAAAAAAAATCGCAGTCTGTTTATATATAGTTTGCCATTCTCATAAATCGAGATCCCATTATCATATAATCCGCTTTTCACTTTAATCCCTGCAATTCGCATCCCTGCAATCCCCTTGCGATGATCGAAGATTAACAAATTTTACCATTCCCTATATCTCCCGCGAAGAAAAAAGGAAAGGGAGACGAAAAGATAATTTAAGCCACGCGAGCTGTTTGATTAATCGTCCCTCTCCCCCGGAAATAAATTCCCCCGACGGTGGACTCTTTGATTTCCGTGCAGTAATTATAACTTGGCCACTTTCTTACGCGAATGAGCGGCAGCCCGAAGGTATCTCCGCAGCATTTCCGCGCGCAGACAGGCGCGCTGACCCGGAAGAGGGGCAAACTTGAATTACGTTCGCGCGGATGCTGAACTCCTTACGAATCCGCGGATAACGTTCCGGATACTTCATCTCTTCTCTCGAATACCGCCGGTGATCCGCTCAGCCGTGATGAGACGTTTTTGGGGCGAAGACGGCGAGGCGAGGGCGGCGGAGCATGATCCCCGATAAGTGATACGTTATCTCTCCTTAATATTTCCCGGATAAAACGTACGTCATAACTCTCTCTCTCTCTCTCTCTCTCTCTCTCTCTCTCTCTCTCTCTCTCTCTCTCTCTCTCTCTCTCTCTCTCTCTCAGCTGCGGCTCGCTGCCGTAAGCAGGAAGCCCGCCAGGAAATATCAGTTTAGCTTTATATTCCGATGAAGCGCCGCAACGAGTGAGCGCGGACATATTATAACTCGCGGTTTACGGCGGCCGGATAAGCCGACTCGGGCAGATTTCGTTGCAGCACCCGGCAAGCGGCGACACTACATATACAAGCGTATACGGACGTGCTCACGTCCGTGAACGTGGTCGTGAAACGTGCACGCGTGGTCGCGGGACTCGGATGCACTCGGATGTGCCGAGTACGGGGTGAAGAAGCTAGATTTCCCCATCGCACACTCGGCGCTTTTTACAAACCGCGCGCACCTGCTTTAAGTTATATTGCGATAAACCGGAAAAATATGTACGTGTTTCGGAAGATGTATAGGGTGTAAGAGAATAGGAACAACGCCGGCGAGATAGCAGAGAGAATAATTCTAAGCGTGGCGCATACGTTAATATTTCACAAAATACAACCTTGCGGCTTAGAGCGAGGGTTGACGGTCGCTTAAGGTATATAAAACTTTGCTAATTTCTATTTTATCGCACCGATAAGCTAAGTTTTCTTCGTTCCAGTAAAATATTTCAAGATATAATTTCCTTTATAATAATCAAGGGTATTTCGTTGTAATTTTTCTTCTTTCCAATAGCTCTCCCCGATAAAACGGTTATTTACCGTATTACGTTTGTATACATAGAAAATATGTATTATGCATTCGCAAAATAAATAATGTAGAATTAAAATCTGTAACATAATCTTTTGCATTTTAAATACGTGTGTATTATGACTGTTTTATTTTTTTTTAGAGATTATTATTCGCTCAGAGAGTCGAAAATGCGATTACATCGTAATCCGTCTTTTTTGTTTTCTGCGGGGATAATATTGTCCATACTGGCGTTTGTGCCAGTAGGGTTGTAAATCACGTTGTGAGACAAGAAAATATGGATCAATAGACCGCGTGCAACATTGTGCGTGCAACATTGTGCGTGTACGTACGTACCGCTTCGCGAGTCTGCCGCAATATGCTGCGATATAATTTCCGCACGGTACCGTATAATAATGTAGATAACGTCACGCGCCGTACACACCAGCGCGATATAAAGATGTTGCGAGAAACGATGCTTCTCCTTCTTGCATGCACCCGTACACCGTAAACGTAAATTAACTTCTCACCTCGAGAACTATTAAATCATTAGGACGTCGGAGGAAAAGTAGTCGACAGACGAACAAAAAATAAATTATTTTTTAAATAAGAGTTAATGTACTCTTTATTCCGGAGTACGATTTCTTTTCATATTTATCTGACTCTCTCTCTCTCTCTCTCTCTCTCTCTCTCTAAATTCGTAAATTATACAAAAAAAGATTATCATAAAATACGACTGTTGCGGAACATATTATAACTTACAATAAGATACTTGAAATTCTCATGTTAAACAGTTTCGAGGAGTCTTTATTTGAACTAATATAAGTGATGAAAATGAGTTATCCATAAATAATGGATGAAAAGTTAGAAAAAAAACTGGCTTATTTGTTATAAAAATAAATATAATTAACAAATATTAGCATGCTTTTTATTTAACGAATTAATTGAAATGTTTTATCCGACAGTGAAATATTTTTCCTCTGTCTTTTGTTTGCATTTATGAAATGTGTATTGAAAATATTGTTTTCTTTTATACTGGCTTAATATTTAATCTTGCAAATACACAGTGAGATTAAATGTAAATCTTAAATGCCATTAACTATACTTGCAAAGAGAAAGATAAATTAACACAATCGTATTAATTTTTCTCTACTACTATTTTTCTTTACTGTGGTTTATGAATAATTTATTTCCATTTTGTTATAAATATATACAGTTCGTAAATATTTCATGATTTTTATCATTTGCGTTCTAAGATATGATCAACATGAGGAAATTCAAATAAAAATATCACATTCATAGAACTACTATATATATTTTACTTATTAAGTTTTACTTTAGTTCTTTTCATATTTATCTGATTCTTTCTCTCTTTCTCTCTCTCTCTCTCTCGTAAATTATATAAAAAAAGGATTATCATAAAAAATTAAATTAAATAAAAAATTTTTAATATATATCTTCATGATGTTCTTAACTGCATTTTCTGAAAATCCTACTTATGCTTAAATTAATCTGGATAAAATATTTTGTAAATTTATCTAAAATTTATTGTAATCCATCATTAAATGACTGTACTAATATGTTCTACACTCATTCATTCCAAGATAATGGATCGATAATATGAAATGCCATGTCTGTATATATTTTTAACTTAATGCACATTTATGTTTTATATATTTGATATTATTTTCATATATATATATATATATTTTGTTATTAATGTTATCTTAATAAGAATAAAATTAATACATATATCACTCACCGATACGAGCGCAATAGTGGAATTGTGTCTACGTTGAAACTACGCTGAACTACAAAAGTCAGAAACATTAAATTGTAGCAACATTCAAGGTAATTTATATTAAAAAATAATTATTGTCAGTCCAAAAATTATATAAATTAATATAAGTAATAAACAATAGTAATTTACTCACCCCATTGTTGTTCCGTCGTCCCCAGATACTTCCCAAGTCTCTTCCTTCTCTCAGATACGTTTGGCACTGGCATAATACAACACTCGCGGAAATACGGTTTATTACGATCATGCGTATTAATCACCAGAATAGGATAATCGCACGGCACTTTGTATGGCATTCCCGATGTTAATTGCACCACAAATGTTCCTATTATATGTCGCGACGGAAGAACGCGAAGAGAGGACAAAGGTTGTCGCATTATGGTTACAATCCATTCGATATTCATAAATGAGTTAAATCAGCACGACAAACACTGTACACTTCAAGATTATTTTATCGTGTTTTAATTGCTGATTATATAAAAGTTATACGTTTTCTAGAAAATCATAACGATCGTTTCTCAACGGATAAAATGCCGTGATACGCGGAACGAGCCGTTCAACAACTCGCTCGGTCGAATGTAAACACACGAATGTTCTCGGCGGTTGTGTAAGCGCGCGCCGTAATAACATCGCACATCAGGGCCGTGCCGGTTGGTCTGTTATCATCTTGAATTATCTAGCGTTTTAAAAAAAAATAGTTTCACGCTCTTTGCAAATTTCAAATTTAATCTTGTAGCTTGGAACAAGGGTTGACGGTCATTGCTTAAGGTAATATAAAACTTTGCTAATTTCTATTTTATCGCACTGATAAGCTAAATAAGTTTTCTTTGTTTCAATAAAATATTTCAAGATAGATTTCAGTGAATAAATTATTATAGCTTGTTCTGTATGAAATCATTACCGAAATTAGTACCGTCTCTAAAACAGATTTATATCAGTACTGGAAATATATTCAAGATTTCTTTTTAAATTATTTAAACAAATATTTTTATCTGTTTAATGAAATTTTTATTTAATAAATATTTTGTTAAATAATTTTTATTGTTTGTAATCAAGATTATTAATATTGCGATTTTTATACTTTTGATATTTTTATATCAGGATGTTTGATTTTATTTATAATTGTGTAATTAATGTTAACTTAATATTTTAAAATAAAAGATGCACATATAAACATACAAATATTTACTTTTCAATTATATTAATTTAAATAGATATACATACAAACAATATAAAGAGACAAGCGAATTAGATCCGATATTTAACCTATTAATGATGCTCTAATTTGCTGTTAAATTATGTTGTACAATAAAAGATTGCGAGATATATTTATAATTGATTCTCTATTAATCATTCCCTACGGGATACATCCCTATATAAAAGAACTACAAATTAATTGAAGCGAGAGAAATTATAACTGTTATTCATTTGTGGCACATGAAATAATTTCTTATCGTAGCATCAGATTTGTTAAAAAATCTTAACAAAAGTTTTAACAGAAATAGCTAGTTAAAACGAACACGGATGAAGCGAGACCGAAAAGAGTCGATTTTATTAGTTTTCGAGATATAAAAAAAATGTTGGAAGATTATTTTGAATAGTTTGAATATATTCTCAAAAAGTATTAAAAACATTCAAGAGTTTCAAATACAAGCTATTTGATAGGCCATACAAAAAAAAACATCTATAATTTGCAAAACCTGTGCAATTTAATATCTACATTGCACTTTACGCGGCTGGTATTCATTTCTCCCTGTATTTATTGTACCATTTTTACCTTGCATATAAATTTTGAAACAGAAGCGGTGGAGTGCGCAGAACATCGTTGAAAAGTATTATTCTCGCGAAATTCGTAGATATATTACGATAGAAGTGGAAAGATTTGATAAAAGGGACAAAATGAATTATGCACGTTCCCGGAGCTCACGGTTGCATTTATATGCATTAAACCGCACTTTCGAGCGTGAACAGCATATGTAAAAGTATATTTTACACTGAACGTTTATGTTTTTCCGAATCGCTTCGAGTAATTTGCCGTTTAATAATGATACAACTTGTGAGAAATTGATGAAAAAGCTCTGAATTTAAAGTAATGCGAAATAACGTATGTGCATATATGTATATATATGTGTGTGTGTGTGTGTGTGTGTGTGTGTGTGTGTGTGTGTGTGTGTGTGTGTGTGTGTGTGTGTGTGCGCGCGCGCGCGCGCGCGCGCGCGCGCGCGATGTACGAATATACGCATATAAAGATTTAATAAATATATTTTATTCAGTCAATAGAGAATATTAACATCGAATTTGACTCTTTTCGTGAATTTTTTATACTGTGACCTTACGTGATGCGTCCTAGAAACATTTCTTTAGGTATCATTATTTTAATTTTAAATTTATTAATCATTTCTTTTTTGGTGAATATAGTACATTTCTTAATTTGCGGTTGAAGAAAATTAAATATAATCAAAATGTATCAATGTGAATATTTTTTCCGTTAATTGAATAAATTATATTTATAAGATCTTTATATATTTGTTATTCAGTCCACACACATATTTTTCTCACATTTGCAACTTGTAAAATTCAATAATAATTAAAATGGTTTATTTTATCGAAAGTTAACACATATTGCTATAAAAATATATTTATAGAAAATATTTTTGTAATTTATAATTAATCGAATTTTTAACGTCTATAATATGATATTAATGCATTTAATGCATTGAATGCAATATTGTAATATTTTCTTGTAATTATACTTTATTGCAATGTTTCCTTGTAATTTTATAGTGTTTTTTTAACAATAGTACGTTTTGATTACTTCGATAGCGAATGGTGTCACATGATCTGTTTGGACTAAGATGATTATAATCAGTTTGATTATATTTAAATGATTAAATGCTTAATATTTAAGAAAATTTAAAAATTTAATTACATAACAACTATTTAAGAAAAAAATTAATAATTTAATAGTTTACATTTTTCTTTTTATTACATATTTTCAATGAAATCCGAATTCGTGATATATATTCAATGTAATCGATATCGTATTGATTTGAAGCCATTATAGTCGAACACGCTATTAGATTCGCTATAATTAAATGTATCAAATTAACAATTATTTATTGCAATAGATATTGTAGGATTAATTAGAGTTAGTTTTATTTTTGCGTATTCCTTTGTATTGTAATTTGCGTAGTCTAGTTTAATTTTGTCGTCGGGGGATCGCGATGCGTGCGCCTGTGGTGAGGCTCGGGAGAGGGGTGGGAGGAAGGGGGGGCTCGATGCGAATTTGGCGTCTGGCGTAGAGAGTAGCAAGCGCGAGCGACGTGCGCGAGCGAGTAGCTTTCGCGGTTTTTTCGTTTTATATTCTTAGTGAGACATTAAGCGCCTCGTTAGTTAATCAAAGACAACATCCCACAATATTTCGCGCGATTGTTCGCCTAAAATAGATATCGAAATAGAAGTTAAGTTAACGGAAGTTATAAATTCTTATTTCCGGACATTCTTTCAAACAAATCTCACTTTAAACATATCATTGAATTTTTAATAACAATGTCTATTGGCCATTTTATACTCGATAGAACGGATATTGGATGAATATATATATAATAAAATAACGAAAAATCGTGAGCGTAATATCGCGATGCATTATGATAAATTCATTTAATAATGAATTTATTATCATTTAAGAAAAACGGAAAATGCGACAAATATTTCATAGCATGTGCGTTAAAATCTTTCGTAGCGGCGTACGGCTCCGGTGGCACACGCCCGAGAGTTGTTTTTCCGACGTACAACGTATTGTTTATTTATGCAAGGTCGCTTACAGCGAAACTTGGGCAGCATAAACGACTAAGCGTCCCGCCGTATTATTACACCTCTGAACGCTCGCGACAAGTACCAGACGAGAACGCGATCATTCCCCACGAACAATGGATATTGGACGCGTAATTAATTAACTTCCACGATTAACGACACTCATAAGCGATGGCTATTTATCAGAGCAAATATTTCGCGCGATTTATTCGCTTTAAAGTAGAGATCAAAGCACGAAGCTATTAAATCATCATTTCGTTTTGTTACGTGGTTTTGATAGGCGATTGTCATGGAATTTAAACATATCTTGTATCGATCTCTCTTCACCGCTTCATAAATATATTTACCTACCATTTTGTGTATCCAACATTTTACATTGTCACAAATTATAGCCGGTATGATTATATGCATGGCGAGTATATTCGATATATTCGATATTAGATTGACTTCGATCTCAAATTGAATTTTAACTAGTTTTAATTTCGGGAGTGCCCTGTACAAAGTGCCGTGCGATCGTTGTATTCCTTAACGTATTCAATGATTAGTTTGCACGCAACCGTAATTAACTGTTTTCGCGAGTGTGTGTTATGCGACTGCAATCAAGGAATCTGAGAGGAGGAAGAGGTCTGGTAGGCATCGGGCATCGGCGCAGCAACCTTGGGGTGAGTAATTAATTCAATTTCTATGTTATTTGCGTGTATATTAGACACGTCTTTCAATTCTCGTTTATTTGGTTCATTTATTCGAGAGTTTAAAAAGATATGAGAAAGAATGTTTTAAATATTAAATGTTATAAGAATTTATACTTTTTTTACTACAATTTAATTTATACTACAATAATATTTATATATGTTTATATGAATATTTATATTTTCGAAAGTCGTATAATTATTCCATTAAATATTTTCTTGATGTACGAGTATAATGTTCAACATAATGATTTTGTTTGATTATTATTTTGTTTGAAATATTAACTATTTTGAGAGTTATTGTAATTTAAACCTTATATTTATTTATATAGATCAACATAGTATCATATAGTTTATTGGATTATATCGGTAAAATGAGTAATTACCATTTTAAACTGAGACAACAACAATGTGAAAATTATACGAAATTCAATACATTCAGATTTATATAAGTATCAAATAAACCTAAATAATCAGAAAGTAACAATATCTAATCAGAAATACTGATCATTAGTCAGTATTTAGCCAGTTTCTAATCAGTTTTTAAACAATTATTAACTAATTTTTATATAGCCAATTCCTATATTTAAAAGAAAATAAAATTTGGATATTTGCACGAAAATGATTTAAAGACTTCTATTTTAGATAAAAAAGTATTAATTTAAAGAGAAAAATTATCTTTCAAGATTAAGTCCATTTTATTTATTAAATATTAAATTAATAAAATTTATTATTAAAGCAAATAGTTAAATATTTGCTTCAAAATATCAAAAATTTGAAGTGTTTGCGTTCAAATGTGGGCGACACATCTTGTCGAAGACGTTATATATCCAATTAAGACGCTTTTTAATTATGAATTAGCGGTCAAAAACTGAGAAAGAAACTGTCCATCTGGATTAACTATTCTTAAATTAAAAAAATATATTTTTAAGTAAATATAATTTTAATTAAAGTTAAAATTTTAATCAAAGTTTGAAAATATTTATATTCTAGTAATTTATTTACTCATTTCAAAGAACAAACAACATATATTCAAAGAAGTCATTATTTTATTTTAAATGATTTATTTTTTTTTTTAATTTTCTTGAAATTTTCAATTATTTATTTTAGTATAATTGCATTGATTTGCTTTTTCCAATCATAGATCAGATCTTTAATATACAT